CATCCTCCTAGAGAAAAACATCAGTGAGGATCGGCCAATAAGAATGCAATACCAAAACGTCACTTTTGTAAAACCACGGTTCTTTTGCTTGATGTCGAGTGTCAACCTCGGCCCAATTACAGCTCAGAACAAGAGCCGTTTTATTTATTGTGTTCACGACCGATCCTCATGCTACTCTTCTTTCGAGTGAAGTTCTCCATACGAGTGCAGGGGGGAGGGGAGAGGCTCGACAGCCGCCAGCCGCCGCCGCCCACCCATACCTGTTGTCATCCTCGTCTCGTCTATTGGTTTCCTTGTTTGCGCCGTCGCGGTGTTTTTGTGCCGTGTTTACAATCTGCGTCCCTCGCGCCGCACGCGCCGTCGTACGGGACGGGCTGCGATCCAAACAGGCGCAGGTGGCAGTTCGCCTACGGAACTGTATACCGCACGCACGCGTGTCGGCGGGTTGCCCACTCGCTCGCCACCCTTTCGCACACGATATCGCACACCATATGGCGCTTGGCGCTCATGGCTGCTCAAGGCGATAGAGCTCACTGTCTGGCCAAATACTGTAACACGAATGTGAAAGAGTGTTGACGAGCCACCTGATGTAGATGAGCACGCAAGGGCCTATCAGGGGCGTCTGAAATGACATGATCCAGATCTTGCTCAGCTCCTACCTGCAATCATGAGTACCTGTGGTTAATGGGACGCAGGTGCGTGTGAACCTCGCATCCGAGCTCGCGTCGCCACACCATTACGGCGGCTTCCCCCGCGTAGTTAAAGCCGGTGGATGTGAATCATGCCAACATATGCACACGTTTGAAACCTTACCACAGTCTGCCTCTCACCGCCCCCTCACATCCTCAGCTAATCAGAGAGGAGAGACAGAGACGGGCAGATGTTCCTTTTTCGGACGAGGCCTCACTACTTGTCCGTGCGCGCCAGCAGCGGACGACGGATGGAAAACACCACCGGGTCAAGTCGTTGCTCGCCTCCTCCACCAGAGAGCCTTTATCGTCGATTTTGCTGCAGCTTGCCGTACATTATGGGCGTTGCTTTCTCCCACTGCGGGGCGGGGCGGGGTGCTGGAGAGGAGGCCGGGGGCCACGCGGGGGTGGGGCGTGCGTGCTCTTGACATTGACCGCGGCGACCAAGAGATTACCAACGCCCACGCCTCACGCCATCGACCACATGGCCCAAGCGGAGGAGCAGGCTGCTGCCGGCCCGGACCCAGACCCTCCAGCGGCTGGACCAACTAGACGTGGCCGCACGGCCCGAGCCCCGCTAGAACCACCACCACGCTCACCCCTAACCCCAACTCGACCTGCGTTGTTTCGGCAATGCCCTGCTTGCCCTCGCCACAGCCTGGTCACAGGCCGCTGACGCTGACGCGCTGACGCACCGTGTGGTGGCCGCGGACGCAAACATCTCACAGTTACAAGTTCTGTACTTTGTAGAAAACAGGCTGGGGGGCCCCGTGCCGGGCGCACATGCTGCGATAAGCCGGTACTACCTCCCGCGGACCGGGACCGTCGCATTTCGGTTTCACTAATCTATTTCCGATACGTCTAATAACGACAACCAGCCACAATGTTTTTCACAAACTCAAAGCGTAGCAGGGCGGGGCGTGGCGGGGCGTGGCGGGGTGCTGATGAGGTTTCTGATTGCAGAGACCGCCTTTATTATTGACTCGTGCGGAAGAAAAGGGGGGGGGATCCCCTGCGTTGCGGCGGAGGTCACTACTGAGGAAGGGGTACATCTCTGGCTGCCTCGCATCTTTCACCGTTGTGCGGCACAAATAAGCCGAATTTCGACACCA